TCTGGTTTTAACAAATTCCCTTAATTTCTGCTTATCTGGAAATGTCTTAATTTCACCATCATATCTGAGGGACAATTTTGGTGGGTACATAATTCTTGGTTAGAAATTGTTCTCTTTCAGTGTTTTATATATACCGTCCACTGTCTTCTCGCCTGCATGGTTTCTGTTGAGAAATCCAAGCTTAGTCTTATTGGTTGTCCCTTGTAGGTAACTTTTCATTTTTTCCATGCAGCTGTCATGATTCTTTCTTTGTCTTTGGTTGTGGTGAGTTTGATGATGATATGTCTTGGTGTTTTTCTTTTGGTGTCTATCCTGTTTGAGGTTCGTTGGACTTCCTGAATGGGTATATTCTCATCTTTCATCATATCAGGGAAGTTCTCCTCCAACAAATCTTGGATAATTTTCTCGGTGGTTTCATTTTTCTCTTCCTGTTCTCAAATTCCAGTGACACGTAGGTCATTCCTTTTGATGGTATCCCACATGAACCTTAGGCTGTCTTCATTTTTTTCATCTTTTTTCTGATTGATCCCTTTCCAAAGAAGTATTCATGTATTTGTCTTCAATCTCATTAATTCTGTCTTCCATTGCATCAATTCTACTCCTTTGCCCTTCCAATGTGTTATCTATTTCTGACAATTTAGTATTAATCTTCTGGATTTCTATCTGTAGATTTAGAATCATTTCTAATTTTTCATTTATTTTGTCATTTCTTGTATTTTCTTCCAAAATTCTTCTAGAGTTTTGTCTGTTTTCTCCTTGGTCTGCGTGATGGTTATGTTTGTATGTCAACTTGGCTAGGGCTGGCTGAGTGGGTGGGCAGCTGAATGTAGTATTTATTCCCCATGATGAGACTGGTAATCAGCTCCATGGTGGAATCTACTATGAGCAGCTGAGTAGCTGCCTTTAGGTAGGTGGTTTGCTTCCTGTATATAAGCAACAGCTTTGGAAATGGTCTCTAGCCTTTGGCACGCTTGAACCCTGCATGTAGCTGTGTTGTTGCTCAGCAGCCTGCTATGCTCTGCCAACCTTGGGACTTACAGTGGACTTAAGTTAATGGCCTGCCATGTGGATTGGTAACATCGAGAATGTGCCTTTTTACTTGTCAACCTTGGGGCTTCTCAGCCTCAGCAGCTGTTTGAGTGAAGAAATACTTCTGGCTCCAGTAGCCCAGGAGCGGGAGGCAGAGCTGGACTCCAAAGTTGAGGGGCTTTCACCCAGCCCCTAGAGCTTGGCACTTTGAACTTGGACTTAAAGCCTCCAAATTGTAAGAATAAACTCATGTTTGTTAAGGCCATCCCATTTGTGGTATATTTCTGTCAGAGTGGCGCTAGGTAACCAGAATTGTCTGTCTCTCAATCCTTTGAAGATACCTAAATATAATTCTTTTGAATTCCTTATCAGGGAGTTCTAATGCTGCGTCTTCCTCAGGGATGTGTTTTAGGTCTGTATCCTGGTCCCTTGTTTCTCTATGTGGACTGTGATGCTCTGTTGTCTCTGAGGCATTGTGACGTTTTTGTGTTTATATTTAATTGGTGATTATATGTTGGAGTGACTTGTCCACACTTTTTCTTTTGTTTGTATGTTTTCTATACAAGCAGGGTACTGTACTGTCCTCCTCTAGTCACTAGTTGACCTATTTATGATTAATTATTTTAGAAGAAAACAGGCTTACAGAAACTGGAATCCTTGTACATTCCTGGCAGGAATGTAAAAAGGTACATCTGATTTGGAAAATATTTCCTCAAAAAGTTTAATAATTTGAGTTATTTGAGCCAACAATGATATACCTAAGTATATACTCAAAAGAAATGAAAACATATATCCATACAAAAACTTGTACACAAATATTCAAAGCAGTATTATTCATAATAGCCAAAAGATGGGAAAAACCCAAATGTCCATCTAGTCATGAATAGATAAACAAAATATGGTATTTCCATCCAATGGAATACTATTCAGCCATAAAAAGAAGCATTGAAACATGCTACAACATGGATGAACCCTGAAAACATTGTGCTAAGTGAAAGAAGGCAGACACAAGTGGCCATATATTGTGTGATCCATTGATATGAAATGGTCAGAATGGGCAAGTCTTCAGAATAGGCAACAGGCAGTAAATTACTGGTTGCCAGGGGCCAGAGAATTGGGGGTGGAGGGGGTGGGGAGAATGAGGGATAAAGTAGAATTAAATAGTAGTAATTGTTGCATAAGTTTATGAATATACTAAAAACTACTGATTTGCATTTTTTTAAAACTTTTTCTTGTGATTTGGGTGAAAGTGTACAGAGCAAATTCATTTTCCATACAGCAGTTCATAAATATTTTGTTTCATGACTGATTTGCATTGTTAACGTGTGAGTTCTAGAGTATGTGAATTATATCTCAAAGGAAAAGAAAAGAGAAAATTACGTTTTCTTACTTGGTTCTTATGATTTAAGAAGCTGGAAGTTACTTAGACAGTTTCTTGCAGTGCCAACCAAACATAAAATCTTACCTCAGTTCCTGTTTCTCTCCAATCCCAAGCCCGACTGCCCCCTGGCCACACTTTGCAGTCCTTATAGATTTTAGTAGAACCTTGTACTTTCATTTGTCCCCAGGAGAGGGAAGCAATTTCAGGGGAAGACATAAGTTTAATTGAAATCTGAAATAAAAATAAAAATATACTATATAAGTTATGAAGTAAAGTTTAAGCAGCTCCAAAAGTATAGGGATAGGCAGTCCTGATTTTCTATTATTTAAGAAGCATCTTTTCTCATTCATGTGATGGGTACTTCTTCCCTAGAGGTCTAAACAGTAAAATGTTTTCCTTGGGAACCTGAATCACCCAGTCATGAAAACTAGATATTACAAATCCTTCTCAGACTCCAGAGGAAATCCTTAGAATATATATATATATATATATTAACACTGAATTTTGTTTATTGATTAAATTTTTCAACTTGCACATCTTGCACATTTAACATAACTTATCTTCCATACTAAAATACTTCTAATATTATACCTTAGAATTGACATTTTCTGCAAGTCATGACAATATCCATTATCTGAAGAACACAGAAATATTTTTATTTTTTTGCTTAATGATACAGCACAAAAATGCTAGCAATATATATTCACATACAACTTTTCCTCTCTTATTTACAATCAAAAGATTGGTAAATCCAGAGGAACTGCTGTAATTACTATATGGTGCATAGTATATTAGCGTTTCAATAGTTTATTCCAACCCATTTCTTCTTTTATATTCTAAAACATCTTCATTATGTTGTCTGATAAGATAGACCCACAGGAAGACTGTGGTGCCCAAGGTCAATGCAACTTTCAGCCAATCAGGTTTGGTAGGCGGCTCCCAAATGTAGATCTTTGACCTCACTGAAAGGCTGCTCTGAAACCAGGTGGGGGCCAGCAGGCAGGAGAGGGGGCGCAGCAATACAGATGGCACCACCTTGCTGGCTGTGCTCTACCTCTCCTTAGGATATTTTTTGAGAGATAAAAAGTAGCGATTCACTTCAACATGATGGAGTGAGGAGGTCCGCACATTCTCCTACCAAGTCCAAAGCTGTATAAAACTATCAAGAAACAACCAATTCAGTACTCTAAAAATTAATTAAAGTCATTGTGGTAGTTAAGGTTATGTGTCAACTTGGCTAGGTCTGGTTTCGAGTGTCTGGGTAGCTGGATGTAGTTATTCCCCATGATAAGACTGGTATGGTAATTAACTCCATGGTGGAATCTACTGTGAGCAGCTGAGTAGCTGCCCTGGGGATGTGGTCTGCTTCCAGTATGTAAGAAGATGATTTGAAAAAGGTTTCTGAGCTTGTGGCACATCTGGATCCTGTATTTGTCCAAGTCATCAGTGAGTGGCCTTCCATGTTGTCTGCTGATCTCAGGACTGTTTCTGGACTTGAACTAGTGGCCTGCCATGTTGCTTGATAACTTGGGACTGTGCCATGTTATTTGTTGACCTTGGGTTTGTCAGCCTCAGCAATCAGCAGCTGTATGAATTAAGAGATGCGTCCAGCTCCAGTGGGCTGGGAGCAAGAGGCAGAGCTGAAGGATGAGGGACCTTCATTCAGCCTCTAGAGCTGGCACTTTGAACTTGGACTGCAAGAGAATAAACCCCTAAACTGCAAGAGAATAAATCTCTGTTTGATAAAACCATGTATTTGTGGTATGTCTTGTTACAGTAGCACTAGATAAACAAAACAGGCATATTACAAACAGAGAAGCATTTATTTAGGAAAACCAATTCATAAAAACTAACATTAAATCTTAAGGTTCTGGCAAAGAAGCTCAAAAGAGAAGCAGCTCATTGAGGAAGAAAATGAACAATCTAGAATTGCCTGGATTGAACAGGAAAATAGGGGGTGGACTAATAACTTACAGTTATCTACTATTTACTATTGGTAATGATAGGTCATTAAGCCCCCAAAGTTTTTAGAGTACAAAATAACTGCCTATCATGTCAACATATTTCATTTCCAATTATGTCACTGGTTGAAAAATAAACACTGCCATTGGATTTATACAGAAAGATGTCTTATTCATTTTGCCACTCAGTCTCTACTTGCAGTAATTCTTTCTGTTCTTTAAGGCCTAGTTTTAACATCCTTCTGATGAAGTCTTTCCTATGTCACCACTTAGACTGAATGCACCCATCCTGTGTTCAAACAGCTCTGGTTTGTTCCTTAATAGGGTAATTACCACACCAAACTATAGTTATTGTGTGTGTGCAACTCTCTACCTAAAATCTTTCCATTAGAATGGTGTTGTTGTTATGTGCCATCAAGTCGGACCCGACTCACAGCGACCCCTCCTTGGGTTTCCAAAGCAGTATCACTACGGAAGTAGATTGCCCAACCTTCCTTCCGAAGAGTGCCCGGTGGGTTTGAACCTCCAGCCTTCTGGTTAGCAGTCAAGTGCCTTAGGCACTACACCACCAGAGCTCCTAAAAAAGTAAAGGATTCTATTTTCTTACTTTGGTAGAATTTTGTGGAAATTAAAAATATACTCTTATATGATTGCCATGGTTACTGTATTTTCACATATAACACACCCATGTAAACAATGGCACATGCACATAATGTACACAGCATGCATAGGAAACTAACAGACAAGGCAGTTGAGTGGTTTTGAAAAAACTGTATTAATGCCTGTGTTATTTGCATAAAAATACAGTATAAATCATCACTTAATATTCTAAAATAGTCCTTGGGAGATTATGCATTACAAATACACACAAAATGACTCAACAGGAGAATTTTTGTTCAGTTGTAAAATGTCACAAAACATATTTGTTCACTGCTTCAAAAATTTTTGAGCTTATAAATTATGTAGGCATCCTGCCAGATACTGTGGAGAATACAAAGATAAAAGAGGCACAAATTCCCCTCTTAAAAAAAAAATTGCAGCATAGTAGTAGAGATGAAAAAAATACATATAAAACTGATCCTAAAATGGAAATTCAAGGGGCCCAGAATAACCAAAACAATACTGAAAAGGAAGAATAAAGTTGGAGGACTCACATGTCCTGATTTCAATTCTTATTACAAAACTTCAGTAATAAAGACAGTGTGGCACTGGCATATGAACAGGCATGCTGATCAATGGAATAAAACAAAAAGTCCAAAATTAAGCCCATATATCAATGGTCAGTTGATTTTTTTTATATGGTCAATTGAATGGGAGAAAAGAGTAGTCTTTCCAACAAATGGTGCTGAGACATGCAAAAGAATGGTCTATCCTGGTGAATTTTTTCATGTGCACTTGAGAAGAATGTGTACTCTGCTATTGGGTAGTGTTCCATAGGTTTCTGCTAGGTCTAGGTAGTTTATAGTGTTGTTCAAGCATAAATTTTGGTTGATCTTCTGCCTAGCTGTTCTTTCCATCATTGAAAGTTAGGTATGGAAGTCTCCAAGTATTATTGTTGAATTGTATATGTCTCTCTTCTTTCAGTTTTGCATCATGTATATTGGTGCTGTTAGGTGTATATATATGTTTGTTTGTTTTTAATAATATTTTATTGTGTTTTGGGTGAAAGCTTACACAGCAAATCAGTTCCCATTTGACAATTTCTGCAAAATTGTTCACTGTCTTAGGTTGGGTTCTCTAGAAAACCCAAATCAGTGAAGTATATATATAAATATAGAGAAATTTATTTCAAGGAATGGCTCACACAACTGTGGAAGATGCACATCCCAAATCCACAGGTCAGGCAATCCAGTGGAGGCTTTTCCAGACTCACATGGTTGCAGGGGTTGATGAACCCAAAATCTGCAGGTCAGGTGGCAGGCTACTGGCTCATGGGGTTGTGTGAGCTGGCAAACCCATAATCTGCAGGTCAGGCAGCAGGCTGGTGGTTCACATCCCAAGAACCAGAGGTCAGAGGATGATGAGATGGATGTAGAATGTCCAGTTGTAAAAGGTCACATAACATATTTGTTCACTACTTCAAAAACTTTTGAGCTTATAAATTATGTGGGCAACCTGCCAGATATTGTGGAGAATACAAAGATAAAAGAGGCACAAAAGATCCTTGTTTCTAGTCTGTTGTAGTCTGGACACTCTGCTGAAACCTGTCCACCATGGGTGACAGTGCTGCTATTTGAAATATCGGTAGTATAATATTCAGCATCACAGCCACATGCAAGCCACCACAGTATAATAAACTGACAGATAAGTAGTGTATTCACAGATAGTATCCTTTATTTTGTGTGCCAATCTGTTATTTTTCTAAAAGGTGACCTCTGGGGATAGTTTTCAAGGTTTAAAGTTTCAAGGTTTAAAGCGCATCTCAGGGTGATAGTTTCAGAGTCCTGTAGTCTCAACTGGTCTAGTAAGTCTGGACTTTTTAAGAATTTGAGCTCTGTTCTGCATTTTTCTCCAACTCTAACAGAAGCCACCTATTGTGGCCCTGATCAGAATGGTCAGTAGTGATAGCTGGGCACCATCTAGGTCTTCTGGTCTCAGGGTGTAGCTAATAGTCTCTATAGGCTAGTTTCTTTTCTGAGACTTTGGTTTCCTTCTAGGTGTGTGTATGTTTTAAACTGTTGTATCTTCTTGATGGATCGACACCATGTGGTTTTTGTAAGTCATTTCCATCTCTAGTTTTAGAAATGAAGCACCAAAAACTCCTAAGGCATTAAGCATATTCTACACTCACATTCTACACTGGTCACAGTGTTTGGTTCAGGGTTGAACATGTGAGTAGAGCTGGACCAATTAGAGTCAATTTAGGAATTCTAGGGAGAAATCCTGAGATACTGATGTTGGGCAGTATACAATGTGGGACGGTTACTTGAAACTACTGCTGCTATCAATCTGAAAATTAGGCCCACACCAAACCCACTGTCTAGTAGATTCCAACTCACAGCAATCTTCTAGAACAGAGTAGAACTGCCTCATATGGTTCCAAGGCTGTAAATCTTTACAGAAGCAGGCTGTCACATCTTTCTCCCATGAAGCAGCTAGTGGGTTCAAACAGCCGACCTTCTGGTTAGCAGCTGAGTGCTTTAACCACTGTGCCAAAAGGGGTCCCAGGCTCACAGAGAGGAAAGCAAAAAAGAGAGAAATACCAAGAAATAAAATTATAGTCCTGGTGAAATCATACCTTAAGTTGTAACTGCTACTGGTCTTTTTAGTTGTGAGGCAAAAAATTATCTTTATTGTTTAAGACTATTTGTCTTTTGCTTGCAACCTGAAGCACTGTGATACAATAATTAACCTCACTTTAATGACTCACCAGATACCTGGAAATCATCATAATAGTATTGAATAAATGTTTTTCCTAACAGTTCTGTTTGTCATTATGATTTGGCTGGCACATCATAAAATTTTACTGAATGAAGGTTATGCAAAACCTGCTGTATTTATACTAAGAGGTCATCCAGGAATTTGAAGGTAAAACATGAATTTTACCCAGCAATATCTATTGCCTTTGTCATAATCAAAGGAGCTCTGGTGGTACTGTGGTTAAAGCACTGGGCTGCTAACCAAAAGGTTGGTGGTTTGAACCTACCAGACACTGTGGGAGAAAGATGAGGCAGTCTGCTTCCATAAAGAATTACAGCCTTGGAAACCCTATGGGGCAGTTACACTCTATCCTATAGGGTCACTATGAGTCAAAGTCGATTTGATGGCAGTGGGTTTGGTTTGTCATAACCAAGTGGTAAAGATCAAATATTTTCATTCATTCATTTGCCTCCACATGTTATGCTAGGGCAATGTGTTTCAAACTCTTTATCTAAACCATAGCAACAAATACATTTTCTAACATGACTTGACACACACACACATTTCTGATATATATATCTGAAAAAATATTTTCATAAACTATACTTGTCATAAAATAATATCCTCACTATATATAATTGCAGTGTAGTAAATTACCTGGTATGGCTTTTTTAGCCGTAAGTCTTTCTAAACTCCATGGTGGAATTTGCTGTGAGCAACTGAGGAGCT